CCAGCACAATCACTATTGTGTTTAATCCACACACATCTACATCTAGAGCCCACTGCCGTCTATCACCCAGATGAAGGGCGTGACAATACAGGTCATAAATTCAAATTACCAGATGTCGACTACGGAACTGTTAATGTAGAGGCTTGAGGATTGAGACAACCAACATATACACACAATTGCTCACAGAATTGGCTCATAGAAAATTTGGAACTCGGATAAGGTCCATATGGAAACCATTCATGACAAGTGACGGAAAGATTAGCGGAATTATACATCAATATGAATCGATATACTTTCAATCTTGCACAATCATATCACAAACACATGCATACATATAAATATATAAATGTGTCGGTGGCTCTATTTGTGGTGGTTTTAAAAAAATTCTACACACGGTCACAGAAACAGAGCACACACTCACACACTACACACTACACAGTCTCATACTCTTATCTCTTTTTTTTTAAACAATATCTACTCATAAATCATGATAAGTGATGATAAAACTTAAAAGGCCAGCACAAAGTCACAAACTCGCGGACTCGGGTCTCAGAGTTGCCAACTCATAGCCCATACTCATCACATTCACCACATCCGTGAGACAACTCAATATTCACCACTCTACTCTTAGAGTAGAATAATTCATCAATGGTTCACTACGTATTTATATTTTTTTTATGAGCATACTAAATTTGTGGTCACTATGCCAGAGCACATTCTGCAACCGACTAAAACTCCTAATGTGGGCATATCTTTGGCGACATGGATCTATTTACCGAAGGAGTTGCACGTAAATTTTACTAATAAGGCACGAGGCCCACGAGGGCCACGGCCCACGGGCCCCCACGGACCAAGGCCAACGAGCAATATTTCATAAATATATTTTTGTTTTTGCTTTTTATTTGTTTAAAAATTAAAAGAAGAAATAGTACATACCATATGTACCAGCCGGGGTTCGGCCTAAGCTCAAAACGTTACCAGACGCAGGGGGGTTATTGAATTGAACATAAACAATCTGAAATATATTTTGGAGGTTTTCAATATCATAGGTCATAGCCCATAGCCTTCTGAAAATTGAACATAGCCTTCTGAAAATTGAACACATAGCCTTCTGAAAATTGAACACATAGCCTTCTGAAAATTGAACTCATAGCCTTCTGAAAATTGAACTCATAGCCTTCTGAAAATTGAACTCATAGCCTTCTGAAAATTGAACTCATAGCCTTCTGAAAATTGAACTCATAGCCTTCTGAAAATTGAACTCATAGCCTATAAAAAAACCTCGTATTGAACATAGCCATATATTTAGTGACACAGAGGTCAGAGACTCACAGAGGTAGTGTGGAAATTTTGGAATCCTTTGAAACTAAAAACGAATCAGTAAAAGTTTTTCTGCCCATATTTGGAACTTTAGCACGCCAAATTTTTCCAGCAATCCTTTTTGATAGAGGCTTATTAGACTGAGCGCACCGGTGTAAAAATTAATTCAATAAATACTTCACCTCTCATTTTTATTTTCATTCTTGACTTCAGAAAATCTGCCGCACTGGTTAATATATTTTTGCAAAAACATTTTTTTTTTATTTATTAAAATCCACCATCTTGATTTCAATTCTTTTTAAATTTCTCAAACAATTCGGAGGAAGGAGTCGGAGAGTTGGAGACTGGGAGTCTCGGAGAGACGGAGACCCAATTGATGATAAACAATTCAGTTCGAAGAATTTTTAATAATAGAAATCTATTTTCGAATGAGTGAATAGGATTGGTATTATTTTATCCGCAACTCACGATTACTTTTGGCATTTCTATCATTCGTATCTACCTTTAGAACTACTCCGGATTTCTTCAGCGTGCTTTGTAAATTTTTGAATTTTTTTGGATTGTTTTTAAAAATAATTTGTTTCACTGTTTCAGATTTCAGAACTTTCACTCTTCACACCGGTCGAAATATTTTCGGGACGAGAGCCAATAAAATCACATCGACGTGTAGGACAGAAATTCAAGTTGTTTTACACCGGGGCGCACAACTGCACATAACCGACTTAGAGCAATATTGCAGAAATGCGGATAGGTGCACTGAGCAAGCATGGGTGATGGAGTATTGGTGCACAACGATAAAACTGAGCTTCTCAAAATGTTCTACTTCTAGAAACAAGATTTCAACTGCCCGTATAACTGGTTTCCCGGTGTTGTGCAAATTGACTGGACATTAAAATTTGAAATTACAGTAGCACAGACTAAACAAAAGGCACTCTATAGTCTATAGCCTAATTCACTCTGGACGATGAAATTGAAATTACAATACATAGCACATAAGCACAGACTAAGGCACTCGATGGCCTATAATCATAAAGCCCTGAGGTTTGGGGGGGCTGGGCCTTGAGAGTGGCTGAGACCCTCGGGGCGAGAGCCCCTTTATAGATCTGAGTCCACTCACTGAGAGCCCTTGCGGCTCTGATGTTTGTGGATTGTTGCATTTATCAGGTTCTTGCGAGAGCTGCGAGACTGTGACACAGTGCAGATCTGTAGGATTGTCAAAGTCTTACATAGTACGATTTGTAATCATCATCGCCAGGAGAATCCAGGTGCTTTATTGTAAAGTAGATTTTAGATTCCAGGAAATTGGACTAGGTAGCCATGTGTTCTGAAGGACTATTTCTCTCGACTCTCTTTTTATGTATGACTCAGTTTACTTGAACCTAAATACACGATTAAATCAGTTGTTCTGAGTAAACGAAAAATATGTATATTAGTTTATGTACTTATATATATTGTTCAGTCTACCTATTTTAAATATATATATATATCTATATATATATATATATATGTATGTATATATGTATGTATATATATATTATGTATATATA